TCTCTCTATAACATGACCTTATTACATCATGAGTTGATTGTCCATTCTTGTCACCATCATGAAAGAGCTACCTTGCATGAAGTGTGAAAGTTGTTTTAAGTAATTTTTTTATTTGTAGAGACCCCTATACTTTGGAAAATCTATTATTAAGAGGACTACCTTCTTATAAGTGTGAAAGCTACATTTTGGTTACGTTTATGAGAGTTATTTTCCCTTTGATCAAAATGAAAAGAAAAATCTTTATTTCTTATGTTGAAAAAGAAAAATGCTAAATATAGTTGGGCATGAGGGAAGGGGGAGCTTCTCTTGCAAAATTTAAAATTGACCAATGTGTCATTTTACCCCCTTAAGGACACTATCACACACTAAGACAAGCTCTTGGAAATTTATCTCACTTGTGTGTGATAGAGGAGGTGTTATTTTGATTGCATAATGTTGACAACTTCCTCATAAGTTTTTTTGTGCCTTTTTAAGATTGAAAATTTTGATTTATTAGGATGAATTGCACAAATTGACTGTCTTGACCTTCAAAAATTCATGTGAAGCATTTCATTATTTCAATTTTATTTAGTTGTCCTTCTTCTTGTAAATAAAGTCTGCTGCTTTTGAAAATTGCTACAAAACTGGGATGCTATGCTTACAACTTGTTTTTTTCATGTCTGTTCCTTGTGTGCTCACATCTGTTGAATGCTCACATCTGTTGAATGCTCGCACACTTTGTTGAGTCTGCTTGTTGTGTGCCCACACTGTCGTGCTATGCGCACATCTGTTTGAGTAGAGTCTTTATTTAATTGAATCTCGTTTTTAAGGTTTTTATTTTATTGTGCTATCACACCTCTTGTCTACACTGCCCATGATTTTTTTTTCTTTTCAACTCTTTGCTCTAAACTTGTTTGTTTCTTCAGTTTTATCTTTCCATTTGCTTCATGGATCTTTAGAAGTCATCTCTGTTAGGAAAGCAAGCTAAGGAATTCTTCCCATTCATTGATCAAGTCGTCATTGAGGTTTAGTTCAAACCTTATGAACAAAGAGGGAGAGAAGATGTTGAATTGAGGGCGAGTGGAGTTGGAAGTTGGATATGTTATTTTTTAAGTTGTTTATTTTTGCTGCAATTTTTGAACTCTCTTTATATGTTTATGTTTTTGGCTCATATGAATTGATTGACTTTGATGAACTTTTGTTGAGTTGGAAGTTGGATATGTTATTTTTTAAGTTGTTTATTTTTGCTGCCATTTTTGAACTCTCTTTATATGTTTATGTTTTTGGCTCATACGAATTGATTGATTTTGATGAACTTTTGTTGAGTTGGAAGTTGGATATGTTATTTTTTAAGTTGTTTATTTTTGCTGCAATTTTTGAACTCTCTTTATATGTTTATGTTTTTGGCTCATACGAATTGATTGACTTTGGTGAACTTTTGTTGAGGGGGAGTTTGTTTTAGCCTGATTACTTGTTGAATTTCTTTGATGTTTTTTGTTTCATATTTGCCTTGATTCATATTGTGTTAGTTAACATTTGCTTTTGTTGCCTTTGTGTTTGTGTTTATTTCTTATCTCAGTTTATTTGATTGGTTGTTTTTATGAGACAGCTTTATATTGATCTTATGATCAATTTGTTTCTTTGTTCATAAGTTTGACAAAGGGGGAGATTGTTGAATATTTTTGTCAAACTTATGTTGTCTGTGAGCACATCTGTTGTGTGTGTGCATACTGAAGTCAGACATATGCATGTTGCATTTCATCTCGCATTTTACTTTGTGTGTGCGCACGCTCTTCTTTTGTGCTAACATCGCATGTCTGACTCACCTTGCACAAGTTGCGTTTTTTACTTAACATATAAGATATTTTCTTTGCATCTTTTGTGCTGTCATTTGGACCATTTACAAGTGTCCCAATATCCTTTAGTGGTCTACGGAAAATCAAACTTTTTCCCTTTTTAATTGTGGTCCCAAAAGTTTGGTTGTGGTCCCAAAAGATAGATGGAATCTTTTCCATTTTTAGACCAACATATGTTAGCCCTTGTTTGCTGACTTGGCAAGAATTGGGGAGCACAAAATTGGCCTTTATCATTCTTGCTCATTTGTAAAGCCAACCTTTGATATTGTATTTGTTTGTACTCTGATTCTTTTTGTACATGTGGCGTCTTTCTTATATTATCCTGCCCATCAAGTTTTATCTCTTTCATGGTTTTTGTGTGAGTTTTCTCTTTATAGGTGTCTGCCTCTCCTCTGTGGTCCTGCAAAGTTGGTGAGCTTTTGTTTGTGGTCCCAAAAAAAGATGAAAGAGATTGTCCGCCACTTGTCTTAAAGAGATTGGTCAAGCAAGGATTATTTAAACTCATCTTCTCCTTTCTTGCATCTTCGAACCTGGATATTATTTTTGTTTGTGCTCTGAAATTTTCAGAGAGTTTATTCCTTGAAAGGTTCCATGTATGGATATATTCTTACATCATTTTGTTCATCTTTGTTTATTGCTTGTTGCTGCTGGAACTTGGTTCCTATGCTAAGAGCTTGAAAGGAGTTCAAGCGGTGGAAGCTGGAGGTGTTCTTCGGCAAGTGAAGCTTGGGTGGAGCTCAAACGTTGTCCGGGAGTGTTCCTGGTGTGGAGTGATCCTAGAAGTGACGAAGCATTAGAGATTCAGAGGGTGATGTTTAGTGTAACGTAAAATAGGGAGCTCTCTTTGCTGTAGCTAAAATCAACTTTGAGTGATAGCTTGTAATGTTTGTTGTTATAGTAGATTAGCTTCGATCTGGACGAGGTCCCATGGATGTAGGCTAAGAGTGGTTTTAGCCAAACCATGTATAGGCTTGTGTGCTTTATCTTTATCGCTTGTGGTTGTTGATTCATGCTTAACTTGATAACCATTAATCAACTTGGTAAAATCTTCCACTACACTTTAAGAATGAGTATCTAACGTTGAATAGAGTTCACCAACTCTAACATAAACTATAATTTTCATAAAGAAGAATGAAAGTTTTACTTCATTTCTTTGTCTGCATTGTGCAAGACAATTAATTGTATCGGGTCTTCCAAATGCTAAAAGAATCTTTAATTGTATCGGGTCTTCCAAATGCTAAAAGAATCTTGATGCGATTGCATACTTACAATTTTGTGATTGAGATCATGAGGCCTCATATTACACTGCTTCTCTCTAAACCTAGTGACGCACAAAAACACTGAATCCCTAAATTGATAAAATTTGTAAGATGATGAAATTTTGAAATGTTGGAAGCATTGCTGGTTCTATAATGATATATACTTATAAGATGAGCATTTGATAAACCACAAAAGTTAGGTAAAATAAACAATTAATTTGACTATTAAACTCAAGATTTTAATTTCCTAATTACTAAATAGATTTTATATAGTTCCTATACTTCTTCCATCAACCAGCAACTGTTAAGTACAAAGTTATACATTATTATAAGTTAAAAGAACTCCAATCACCTCAAGAAACTCTACTGTAAGTGATAATTTGTTAAATCAAAGCCTTTCTTAAAAACAAATGAAATTGGATTAGTTTATAACTTAAGTTTAAAAAGAATAAATATACTTGGAGTGAATCAAGGTAAAGAAAAAAGAAAGATGAGGATATGAAAAATCATATTTGATAAACAATGAGTTTTAAATGTTATAAAAATAAATAAATAAATAAAATAAATAAAATAAGTGGGAGTGTACTTAGAATTTATGGTGTCCTTTATAGTAATTTTATTTAAGGTTAAACTTCTCAAATAATAATAATTAAAAAAAAAAAGTGGGAGCTAAAAATTACTACCAAAAATAAACTAAATAAAATTTAGATTATAAATAAGGCCCGTCATATACAAATTACACAATCCAAAAATTAATTAAACACAAAATAAACTAAATAAAATTTTACATTATAAATATAAAACACATTTATACTAACTTAATAAATTACTGTTTTGATATCAGACAAAGTCTTTTATTACCTTATGAATCCTATTCTACTTAGTTTCTTCCTTTATCTTAGGTGAGAGTGTTTTATCAATTTAAATAGTTGGTATTTACCTTATGGTCCCTTTCATATGGCTTCAACCATCTTTTTTGTTTTGTATGAACTCTTTATTGATTTTGGGTTCGACCTTCAGCTTGTTTCGTTGGGTCTGCTTTGGTTGCCGAATTAATGGCTTTTTTGGGCTGCTAGGCCTTTATATTGTGTTCAACAATATTTCTCTTCCATTATCACAAAAATATAGCAAATTGACAAGTGCAATTTTGTCCAACAATATATTACACCCTTTCACAAATATGAAATATCTGTCCATACCTAAAAGGAGCTGGCAATAAGTTCCCCATATTGCAATCTGCTAATTTAGTGCGGTAAATTTGTCACACCTGACCAGGAGCATTTAGGAGTTTGATCTCCACTCAGTCATATGGGGAAGTTCACAAATGTTTTTAAATTTGACATTATTTAATTATATTAATTTTAGTAAGATTGACTCTACTATTTGTAATCAGACATGAATATTCCTCAATACTTATTGATGGTTTTCCTGGACTTGAAACAGTGAGTCTTTAATCCCTGGGACATAATTAAGCGAAGATTAACAAATAGAATGAGCAATGAAATTAAATAAAAGGCATCTAATTTGATTGCATTTCAATTGAAAATTTGTAATGACAAAGATGAGAAAATATGAAAGAATTAATCAACCAAAGTTATACATATACATCATATTCTTGGATTCTGTATATATCCTGTAACGTTATGGTTCTAGCTATCTCATAGTTACACATCCTTAATTATCTTCTATTAGACAATCAGCTGGGAAAGGATCCAGAGCTGAAAAAGCATGAAGCAATTTCAATATGCAGACTATTAATTTGCTATAGCATTGTACAGAGCTAGCTGTCAATTTGTTGCATTTCAATTAAAAATCTAAAATGATAAAGATGATAAAATATGAAAGAAATAATCAACCAAAGTATATACAAATGATCAATTCATATTTATTTATATATTGTTTTTGCTCAACAATCTAGTAATACAAGTGAAATATAAGCAAAGCATATGTCAGTACAAGTAGAATCTACTTGTTGATGACAATAAAAAACGGCTTGTATGATAATGAGAATGAGGAGAACAACAGTTGCAATGACAGAGATGGAGGCCCATGAAGTGTTGAAGTAATTATGTTTCAACGTTGCCTTCCACTTGTGCCATGGTGATGTGCAGTAGGCCTTTAGATCTTCAATAAGACCAGAGTAGTAGAAATTATCAGAATCTATGCCGGTCTCTTTTTGAAGGTTTTGAAAAAGAGTTGAAACATCTTCACTATCAGAAAGCAAATTTTCAATAATTCCATTCTGCACAAGTACTTTCACATCTTTTGGACCACTGACAAGGTAATTCATGATTCTAATGTAATCATTAACATAGTTGGTTACGCTATTCAATGCCTCAAAGTCGTGCAAATTTCTGAACAAAGCTTTTGTTCTGTCGACTATTGTCAATTTTGGAATTTCCAGAGTCCCATCATTGAATCTTAAGTCAAATAAATGATTGCTTGAACCCAACTTAAACTTAACTCCAGCCTGCTGAAGTTCCGTTATAGTTGGTGCAACTAGAGTTTTGAGTTCACAAATTTCTTCCGATGGTTGAAAACAAAGTCTTATCATATCAACAAAATGTTGTGCTTTTGGAAACTGTTCTTCAAACAACTTATCCTCTATCAAAAGAAATTTACCCATTCCTTTGCAGAGGTCACAGGTAAGCTTGCTCATGGAAAGTCCCTCATAAATGTTACTATGCATTTCTATTTTGGCTAGATCAAACAAATCTTCAAGAATGAACAGCGGAAGCTGATTTTCTAGGAGTAATGTGTCAACCATTACATCGTATATCATCCACGGTTTTGTAAATATTCGATCCAAAGGAGCATTGAATTGATCGCGGATGCTTTTCCTCAGTGAGAACTCAATGAGGAAGACAGAATCCAATAAAATCATTTTTACAAACTCATGACTTCCCTGCTTAATGTTTTCTGCATAACAATTTCGCAATCTTGTTTCTCTATCCTTTGTAAAAATAAGAAAATGCTCCATACTTACCTTGGTTCGTTGAAGAAAATATTGTAGGTATCTTATTTTAAACTCTTCCATAGCTTTGAACTCTTCCCTACGATGGTGAAGCGGCCCAACGGAGAATACTGTCGAAGTGTAGAGTCCTTCATTTAACTGACATCTTCTCTGAGGAGCCCTATAGATGCAGCATTCATCCGATAAGGGATGCAATTTTTTGAACCTTTTTCTCAGAGAAGTCGCTAACTCATTGATAATAATGGATTTATGCTCTTCGATATAATCCATCTTATCGCTTGCTGAAATACCAACATCATCAATATGAAAACAGTGCTTGGTAAATAAATAAATAAAAAGAAGTGAAAGAATTAAATTCTATTGTTCAAACTACGTTCAATGAATTTCAATGATCATCAGATCATATTACATGTCCAAATTGGTTAACAATATGCACTTCTTATTGTTACTCTATAAGGATATTCTTATATAAAAATTAATCTTATATGGAAATTATCAAATTATAGATAATGTAATTTAAAATATTATAATTACCACAAGGGAGAAATAGAACATAGAATAAAAACATTCACCTACGATAGGTATATAATTACCAGAAGAGTTTTTTTAAATATTACAACCCTAATAACTTAATGTTAAAGTGGTGAAAAAGATCTATACTCTAGAATTATTGCACATCGTCTATGTTAATTTATTTAAGAAAAATATATTTCGAAGTTCCTGCTATATTTCAAACCTATGGGGACTAACTTGTAATTTTATAGGGGTTTTTTTGCACTATTTCAAAATGTTAGGGACAATTAATGATTTCGGTATTTTTTTGAAATAAATTATAATTTTAGGGACTAATTAATAATTTTTAGGAGTATTTTCGTAATATACTAAAATTTAAGTAACTATTTTATAATTTTTTTTAAATATTTTTATTACTATCTTCACTGGTTGAACCAATCAGGTCAAGTTTTAAAACAATGATCATAACACTTTAGAACTAAATATGTATCTTCAAAAGTAGTAAATTGCAAGCACCTTAGGTACAAACATCTTAAAGTTTTTAACATATAAACCAAACAATTATTTTTTGAAGTTCATGTAAGTAATCTTCGCCCAAAACACACAAGTAACTCACAAAATAATATACTGACTTATGAACCACTTATTCCATAGAACAATAATACAAGACTTGCCTATTTGAAGATAGAAATTATTTCTTCTTTGCGTGAGTTTATTTCACCCATTGTCGGTGTAAAGAATCAATACTTGAAACAAGAATCAACCACACTTTATAGCTGCAGCTGGCAAGTCAAGTATAAACCCTATGTATACAACAACAAAACCGTAAAATTTAATGCTCGTTTTGTCCTCCAAATTGCAAGATTTACTTGATGAGTGAGATCTGGCTTCGTTAATTATTGATTAAGTTTAAATTAAGTTGGATTAAGAACGAAGTTAAAAATAGTTGTTTTTTAATACCAACTCTGCAAGTGTTGACACAACAAATTAAGTAAAACCAAAATAATTTATGATATTGTCAATTAATATACACAATTTATTCCTCGTATGAATGTCCTAAATTTTAAATTCCAGCTTGAACCCTTGCTTGTAAAAGTTAATTCTTGCGTACAAGTTTTCACAATATTTTTGAAATAAATGAAAATTTTAGGGATTAATTTATAATTTTAGGAGTATTTTCATAATATATTGAAATTTAAGGGAAATTATTTCATAATTTTTTTAAAATATTTTTGTTATTGACGTCACCGGTTCAACCGGTTGAATCGATCAAGTCAGGTTTTAAAACAATGACCATAACACTTTAGAACTAAACATATATCTTTAAGAGTAGTAAATTGCAAGTAACTTAGGTAAGAACATCTTAAAGATTTTAACATATAAACCAAACAGTTATCGCTTGAAGTAAGACGTAAGTAATCTTCGCCCAAAACACACACTTAACTCACAAAATAATTTGCTGACTTCTAAACCACTTATTCCATAGAATAATAGTACAAGACTTGCATATTTGAAGATAGAAATTATTTCTTCTTTGCGTGAGTTTATTTCACCCATTGTTTGTGTAAAGAATCAATACTTGAAAAAAGAATCAACCGTTCACTTTATAGCTGCAGCTGGCAAGTCAAGTATCAACCCTATGTATACAACAACAAAATCATAAAATTTAATGCTCATTTTGTCCTCCAAAATGCAAGATTTACTTTGATAAGCAAGATCTGGCTTCGTTAATTATTAATTAAGTTTAAATTAAGTTGGATTAAGAACGAAATTAAAAATAGTTGTTTTCTAGTATCAACTCTGCTAGTATTGACACAACAAATTAAGTAAAAAAAAAAATCATAATTTATGATATTATAAATTAATATACACAATTTATTCCTCATATGAATGTCATAAAATTTAAAATTCGAGCTTGAACCCTTGCTTCTAAAAGTTAATGCTTGCGTACAAGTTTTCATAATGAAAAAAAAAAGATAAAATTTCACTATCCTTTTTCAACTCTTGCATACTATAATTAATTATTCTTTGTAAGAGATTATATCAGATTTTTAAGTTCTGTGTTATAAATTTGATTTTATGTATATATTTATATAGAACAGTAATTCTCTAATAAGGATGTCTTTAAATTTAATTTCATGTATATATTTATAGAATATTGGTACTTCTTTAATAAGGATTTCCTTATATTAGTCCAATCAGTGGTGGACGCATGTTGACTTGTTGAGCAGAAAGAGCTGGGCCCCTCCTAAAATTTGAAACTTTTATCAATCCTAAGTATTTTAGTTCTATTACATTTGTGCCCCCTTAAGAAATTAGTTTCCTTCATTTTTTTTTTTTCTAGCTTCCTAAATTTTGTCTTCTCTATATGCATAATGCATTTAATTATCATGTGAGTTTATATTTGACAAAAAATTACTATTAATCTTTAATTTGACCTAAATTATAAATAATGAACTTTAATAATTGTGATTCAATTTTCTCTCTATGTATTTTTTTTTTTTTTATTATTATCATTATATGAAAAGACAAATTCAAAGAAATTTCAGTGAAAAGTAATAATTATTATCACTTTATATGAATTTTAGTTATCATATCTTACTCTAGATGGTAAACTATGATTTTTTTTACCATATTTGGATATTAAATTTATTAAGGTGCCCCGGCTTACAAAAAATGATGGATCCGCAGCTAAGTCCAATGATGTTTTACGAATGAATCCAAAAATATTTAACCATGGTACTCACAAAATTAATATAAGGGCCTAAAATTATTGTATACATAAATTAGACTAATTTGGATAGTTTACTTAAATTAATATACTAATTATATGTATTTATATATAATAAAAGTTTATTATCGAATTAATTAAGTAGACTTCGGCATTAATTATCTTATGTTTATCTAATATAATACATATGACTGTAACTTCTGCTGCTAGCTGAATCCAATTAGTAAGTTGGTTTTTAAATATAATCGAAGGATCCCATTTCGGATTGGACTAATTGTATTGTTTTATTTGGTGTATTTAATTGATGAGAATATTACATCTATTCATTTAAAGTATAAAGGAATGAACTTTGAGTATTATGAAATTTTATTCTCAAAAACGTTGTTGGATTGTATTTGACGTGTCTCTGTTTAGACGGGGTAATTAGGAAAAGTAATTATACAGTAAAAACAAACACAAAAGGATATTAATCATCAAAAGAGTAACTGAATCGCCTCCTGTTCTTTATTAACCCTTGCATATTGAGATATACAGAAGCAAATCAGAATAAAATGATTTGAACATGAATTACAAGAACCTAATTGTAGAAAGAACGCACGGTGTATGAGTGAGGAGAGGAGAAAGCAGCAGCATAAAAGAAGATACTCCATGGCGTGTTGAAATAATCTTGCTTCAAAGTTCCATCATTTGTTGCAAGAAGCTTCGCAGTACCTGTTGAGATCTTTAGAAAAGAGAAGTATAGGCCACCCATACTACCTGTAAGTCGACGAGATCGTGAAAAAGGATGATACCCCTTCACTATTCCTGAGCGAATGTTTCAAAATTCCACTTCCTGCAAGTAAATCCACATCCTTGGCAGATTAAGAAGATTATCATGAAGAAAATGTGTCATTTATGAAACCGGGAAGGTTATATTGTTCAAAGGCCAGAAGATTTCTTAAAACAATCCCCAGGGTAGGATGTATTAAGAGCGAGGAACCTCCAATATTCCATTTTGAAAATTATTTCAAATTTGTTAATTCCCTGCTCAAACTTCACTCCAGCCTGATGTAGCTGCGTTACACTGGGTGCGGGTACTGCAGCTGCCTTCTTTTCCAACAAATCGGAAGGTAGAATACAAGTTCTAAAGAAATCAACGAAAAGTAGCACACCAGAATAAGGCTCTCACCAAAATTATCGACGTCCAGAAAATCATTCCAAATATTATTGCAGAAATCATGAGTAAGTTCAAGCATGGAAGGTCTGATCATAATGGTTATATTCGCTAGTATAAACAATTCCTCAAGAATAAAGAAAGGAAGCTGATTTTCAAGCAATATCATGTCCCACCTTATCTCATGAAGCAACAATTTTTTCGAATATAAACTCTTCTCACAATCAGGGACTTCATCATCACGGGAAATATCTTCCAATAATACCTCAATAATGAAGGCAGAATCCAGAAAAACCATTTTCACAAAATCATGACTATTGAGTCCACCGATTTCTTCATAACAATTACGCAATCTGACTTCATTTCTCTTTATAACTTCTACAAATTCTTCCAAGTTTACGTTAGTTCGTTGAAGAAAACCTGCTAGGCAATTTCTTTTGTAATCTTCCATTGGTTTCAACTCATCTGTGCCATGATGAAGCGGGCCAATCGAGACTACTCGAGGTGTAAAAAAAAATTCATTTGAGCGACGCACTCGATCTGGAACTCTATGGATATAACACTCAGAAATAAGTGAAGGACGTATGCATTGTAATTCTCTTTTCAACGAAGCTGCTGTGTTTTCAATGTCAGCTGAAGCATCGTCGCTTTTGTCAATCTGCTCTATTGCCGCTGGGGCAGCCTTCATCACCTCAGTAACTGAAGAATAGCATTGTAATGAGCAAATGACAATAAACATTATATTATCAGTAAGTAACACTTTCCACACATAATATTTATATAATTTCATAAATATAACATTAATTAACATGTTGGGATATTGTAACTCACTTTCCTAATTGTTTCTTTGTAAAATTGTATCTCTATAATAAAGTTAATTTAAAGAGGAATATAAGGTGTGTTTGTTTTATTATTTTGGGTAGGATTTTTGAAAAAGTTTAGTTGGGTGATTATTACGAGGTATGATTTAAAAATTAACAAAAATACCTCCTAGATTTATTAATTTAACTAAACACTCCTACAAGAAAATATTAAAAATTAACAAAAACACCCCCACCCACCCATTAAATGCTGGCAGCCGGCCACTACCACCGGAGGGTGACTGGCAGTCATCGTAATGGCGCACGATCAGTTGGATCTGGTCGGTTATGCATCGATATAGCCTTTTCTGGCTAGATAGACCATGGATCTGGCTAGAAAAGGCTTGATCTTGGCCACGTTTGATCGTCAACGATGGCCAAAGATATCGTCATTGTTGACAACCAGCTACGGCCAAAGATCTAGCCGTCATCTGGCCAGAAAATGCTTGATTTTGGCCATATTTGATCGTCAATGACGGCCAAAGATATCGCTGTTGTTGACGACCAGCTACAGCCAAAGATTTGGCCGTTAACGGCTAGATCTTTGGACGTGGATGTACCGTCCAGATCCAGCCGATAGTACGCCATTACGCCAAATTCTAACCACCTTCCGGCGTTGGTGAACGGATTCTAGCAAATGTGGGTAGGTGGGGGTGTTTTTGTTAATTTCTAAACTTTTTTGGGTGGGTGTTTAGTTAAATTAACAAACCTAAGGGGTTTAAAGCAGTTGAATAAAATAGAATAAGATTTTCATAATATGGAAACAAATGTGTATTTTGGGTAGGATATGGTAGAAATAGTTAAACAAACACAGCCTAATTGTTGAAAAGAATAATGTAAAACCTAATAGAAATAGAATAAACGAAAATTGTATTAGGAATAGAAATTACATACATTCAAATGGAAATAATATCTCATGTATAACCTATAAATATAAGAGTGGGAACCAATTTAGGTTATAAGAAAATAAAGAGTTACAAGATATGTGATACAAAAGTTTGGTTAAACCTTATAGAGGTACTAAGAAGTAGGTTTATATTGTGTATACTCTTATATATATGTTGGTGTTATTATAGTAGATTTCTCTCTATCCGTAATTATAAACGAGTTATGTCGAACCACAGTGAATATCGTGTCTATTTGTGCGATTTATGTTCATGTTATTAACCTCGTGTTTTCTAATGCAAGATCTCCAACATAATATTGAATAATAAAATCTAGAGAAAATAAATTCTTAAGAGAATGACACATAAAAACCCTTTTAAGATAAGGATGAAATTTTCACTTTCAAACATATTCGGGGTAATGTGTACTTAACAACCTAAAGAATGAAAAAACTCTTCTCAAATTAAAGTTAAAAGGAAAAATACTAACTTCAAATGATTACAGTTATTTTAGATATCGCGAGGGAATGTTATCATTTATGGAAACCTAGGGTATATATAATAGTTCAAACCTTTTTTAAATTCGAACTTGAACTTCTGGATTTTGGATGTGAGAGTTGATAAGAGATCACAAATTTTATTTAATTTTCTACTGCTAAATGATAAGTTACCCGAAAACCCTATCAACATCAAGGCCTAAAGGAGAATGTTAGAGCCCACACTCTTTATCAAAATCACTCACTCAAGGGATTCGTAGTTATAAAAATTTTCAGATATTATGTTTAATATGAAGTGTACGCATATGGCTTAACAAAACTAAATAATAGTGTTGAAACACAAAAGAAAAAGATGATAGATAGATATTCTTACTGTAGAAATCAAATTAACGATCAGCTTTTCTCGATGCCTTTCAGACACAATCCACCTCTAGTACTGCGCAAAACTACATCAAGGGTGAGAAGATCGATTTATGCCGTTTTTATGGACTTCTTTTTTCCCTCATTTAAAAAATAAAAAATAAAAAATAAAAAATTCTTAAAGCCAAGAGTAAGGAAAGTATCTCCTTTCAAGGGTTACAAGGAACGTATCTCTCTCAAATATAAATTGAGTATTTGGTACTACAGCTACAAAAATCTTGGATGTAATTTGTTGATGCGTGATTTTGACACCAACTAAATGCACATGTGAAATGTTGAGCGAATCCCACAAACGGGAGAGAAGCTCTCTATTTATTATGGGATACCTTGAGGTAATGATTACTGAATCCATAAAAAGGGGTCAGGTACCATGCAAATCCTTCTTTGTATCCCGTTGTTCACCTACTCGCGTGATTTCCTCGGTTCATGCAGGGATTTGACACGTTGACGGCTTGTAGCCTCTCTCTACTTAGCGAATACAAATTAAACTCTTCCTTCCAGAAGAGTTTTGTTTAAGGGGGAATGTTGGCATGTTGTCCAAAGTAGTTGAAGTTTTCATAGAAGCTGTTTAAGACTACAACAGAAAATGAAATAGAAGAGTTTAGTTTAAGGGGGAATGTTGACCAAAGTTGACTTCTCAAAAGTGTTGACCAACGTTGACTCCTCAAAATCACAAGGCTCAAAGTGCTAAGTTTATAAACTTAAGTACTAACTTGTAATTGCTAGAAACGGTGGCGTTTAAGTCTTGTCATAAAACATTTCTCTCTCTCCTCTCTTTCGTTCTGCTGTATGTATCAGTTGACTACGATTTGTAATCCATTCAATTCAGTTGAAATACAATACATTTCGTCTAAGTTCTCTCTAGAATTTCTGATTTTACTTTAAGTTTTACAAAAATCACTTTCCTGAAAATTTTCTTTGGCTAGGCGATATAGAAAAGAAGTGTCATAGTAGCACAATTAACGGTGATGATACTAAAATAAGAATTTGGACATAATTGTTTGATTAGATTTTTAATGTTTCTCAAACAAAGCAAGAAGCAAGTTCAATATGAAGGCTATTAATTTGCTATAGCATTGTACAGAGGCTAGCTATCAATTAATTGCATTTGAATTGAAAATCTAAAATGACGAAGATGATCAAATACGAATGAAATAATCAACCAAAGTATATACAAGCAATCAATTCATATTTATTTATTTATTGTTTTTGCACAACAATCTAGTAAAATATAAGCAAAGCATATATTATAAGTACAAGCAAGTAGAATCTACTTGTTGATGATGGAAAAAAACACGGTTTGTATGACTGTAAGAATGAGGAGAACAACAGCTGCAATGACAGAGATGGAGGCCCATGGAGTGTTGAAGTAATTTTGTTTCAAAGTTGCCTTCCACTTGTGCCATGGGGACTTGCAGTAGGCCTTTAAATCTTCAATAAGATCATAGTAGTAGAAACTACCAAAATTTATGATGGTCTCTTTTTTAAGGTTTTGAAAAAGAGTTGAAACATCTTCATCATAAGATGGCCAATTTTCAATAATTCCGTTCTGCACAAGTACTTCCACATCTTTTGCAGAGCTGACAAGACAACTCATAATTACAAAGTAATGAGTCACATAGTTGGTTACGCCATTCAATGCCTCAAAGTCCCTCAAATTTGTGATTAGAGCTCCTTCTTGGTCGGCTATTGTTAATTTTGGAATTTCCAGAGACCCATTTTTGAATCTTATGTCAAATAAATAATTGCTTGACCCCAAACTAAAATTAACTCCAGCATGGTGAAGTTCCGTTATAGTTGGTGCAACTAGAGTTTTGAATTTACCATTTTGCAGAGCCTGGTGAAAATCCATCATAGTTGGTGCAACTAGAGTTTTGAGTTCACCATTTTGTATCCCTCTTTCTGGTGGCTGAAGACAAAGTCTTATCAGATCAACAAAATGTAGTGCTTTTGGAAAGTGTTCTTCAAACAACTTATCCTCTATCAAGAGAAATGTGCCTAATACTTTCAAGAGGTCACTGGTAAGCTTGTTCATGGAAAGTTTCTCATAAAGGTTACCATGCATCTCTCTTTTGGCTAGATCAAACAAATGTTCAAGAATGAACAGCGGAAGCTGATTTTCTGGGGAGCAACAAGTCAACCAATATATTTATGGCCATCCATGGTTTTGCATATATTCGACCCTGTGGTGACGTGGCTCCTGATTTGCCACGGTGGAAGTCAGCATAAGTGTCCAAGTCAAACTTCCATTATGCGACGTCGTTTTGGCCAACCTAAAAGACTTATCTAATTAGGTCTTCTCATTATCGAGCAGCCCTCATTTCTCTCTCATTTCTGTTTGGCTCGACAGCCTGTTTGGCAGGACAGCTCCTCACCTTGAAGAAACTTCTAGAATCGATCCAGCAAGCTTTCAGTTATGGAGAATCAAGGACAGATGGCTGATGATCCAGGAGAAAAGCCTGCGTATTTAACACATGCTTTTCCAGAGAGAAAGATCAGAGTTTTGGGCAGAGCTATTTAGGGTTTTCTCTAATCGGTGTGTTCTTTCCTTGTTTAATGGTTTACCTTATGTTCTGAAGAAAGCTTTATCACTGTACATTCTTGATTGATAATAAAATCCCTAGTGTGAGCCTTGGAGAGTGGATGTAGGCTGTAAAGCCGAACCACTATAATCTTGCTGTGTCTTGTTCTCTACTTGTCTCTATTTTATCTGTCATGAGTTTAATTGTTGATCTGTCACTAAGTTTTCATCACTGAATCAGTTATTCATTAACCCTAGAATCTTAACAATTGGTATCAGAGCTGGTTAAAGGTCCAGTTAGGGTTTCTCTGCTCTTTAGTCGTGTTTTGGGATTTCATTAAAACTGATCTCTTTCCTATTACTGAGTGTTTTTCTGATCTGTAAGAAAGACATGTCGACTAAATTTGAGTTGGAAAAGTTTACAGGTGAAAACGATTTCGGCTTATGGAAAATGAAGATGGAGGCAGTGTTGGTTAAAGAAGGCTTGGCGTTGGCTCTGAAAGGAGAAGAAGATCTACCTGATACGTTAACCACCACAGAAAAACAAGACATGCTGAACAAGGCCAAAAGTTCCCTGATTCTTGGCTTGGGCGATAAAGTGCTTCGAGAAGTCAAGAAAGAGAAGACTGCTGTAGAGATATGGAGCAGGTTAGACTCACTCTATCAGTCTAAGACTGTACCTAATAGGTTATTTCTAAAACAGAGTTTGTTTGGGTTTAAGATGGATGAACAAAAGTCACTAAAAGATAATAAGAATGAGTTCCTTAAGATTATACAAGACTTAGAAAGTATCCCGTTGTTCACCTACTCGCGTGATTTCCTCGGTTCACGCAGGGATTTGACACGTTGACGGCTTCTAGCCTCTCGTCAGTCTGGTGCGTACTTATTGCACTGGCAAGAACATGCTGCTCACGCCAGCATGCGAAGTGGCCACGCCTGAATGGTTGTAGGATCTACCTAGACTCTGACCATTTATGCTGACTGGGCTCTGTGTTAGCCCTACTTTTCTAGGCATAACCCCTAATTTTTAAGGTTTGAGAATCGAACCTTGGAAATTATAAATGTCTTGATTTGATGTGTTTGAATAGATGCTGATCGAAGCGACCTGATCGTGAATGAGGTCGAGAGGACATTTCCTCGCATGCGACCTAGGGTGATTTTTGCCCTTACAATCAGCGACCTGGATTTAGGTACCCAGTGTTGTACTGATGATTCTGACCTGGATGGATTCCTTGACCTGTTTACACTTAGCAGCTTTCAAGAGGATAAATGGTCGCTGCTTCCCAGCTGATGTTCGTCGAGGTCGAAGAATCACATCGCTTCGCAACTATCACTGAGACGAGGTTGAAGAGTCACGTTGCCTCGCGACTTACAAAACGAAGAATGTTTTTCATAACGACCTCTTCAGATGTTATCCGTTGCACTTTTGCAGCGGATACTTTAAATGAAGCACCTTTTGCTCTAACAAATGTGTCTTGAGCGTAATAAATGTCAGCCATGCGTATTAAATGCGAGCCATGCTGAAACAACATTCCCTATCAGAGCATTAAATGCGGACGTGGGCGCATTAAATATGGAGGAGGGAAAACATGTCGTCGCTTAAGTGTTTCAACGGAAGGGGATGACGATCTGGTTTCTCGAGGCGTGACGGTCACTCTTCCTCGCTGATTCATGACACGTGGTAGCGATCAACGGTTAGATGTGTTTTCTACCCAAACGTCGTTTGACTTCGGGAAACCAAAGCGCCACTTCCTCAATTATATAAACCCCAAGCTCTCTTCAGGCAAAGTCACAGTACTTTCATTCTCAGAGAAAGCAAGAAACTTTAGCGAATTTTGGTTCTTTGCCTTCCATAGTGGTGTTTGTCTGATATTCGGAGGAGAAGAGTCAATCTTTCTCATTTCAAGAGATAAAAATGATTCCCCTCTCCTATTTTTGGTTTGATTTTGCTTTCGACAGTCGTCATGCAACGACTGTCCGTTGGTAGCTCATCGGAGATGAAATATCCTCTATTGGGTCAAGTCCACTGATGGTGGCCCTTTAAGTATTCTGTTAGGGTTTTTCTAGAGTTTAGGGAGGAAATATTTATTTTCTCCTCCACGTCATCGTACGAGACTGTGTACGAGGACTGAATGGTTCCCTACTTGTCGCTTTTGTAGACTGCAGGAGAATGGACCCCCCAACGACCAGAGCCGAGGAAGGGACCAGTTCACCCATGCAAGATGCTCTTGCGGGTCCCACTCGAGAGATCTTCTCGGTACTTACTGAGGAAGAGCTTGAAAGGGTGGTAGACCAGTACGCTATCAGCGTAGAGGTCTTTCACGATAGGATACATACAGGTCAGTATCCGCCACAAGGGTTGGCTGCGATCTCCGAGGTCATTTTCAAGGGTAGAGGGTTGATCCCCTTCCACCCCTTTGTCAGGTCGATCCTTGATCATTTCGGGATCACGCCAATACAACTCACACCAAACGCGTACATGATTGTCGTTGTCATGTACATCGCATGCTGTGAGAACGGGCTCGGCAAGCTAACGACAGTAGAGCTCGATTACTTGTATATTCTAAAAAACAGCAAAGACAAGGATTCATACTACTTGTCCAGGCGAACTACTATAGAAGCGGGGATACATAGTTATCCGAGTAATGTAGGACCATATGAGACGAAGTTCTTTTTCTTTCGTCACGACGGCCTTTGCCGTTTCCAGGAGCCGAGTAGGTTCTTTTTCTTTTCGAATTTATTGACTTGATTTTTGCTCTTCGCTAACGAGCTATTTATTTCTCTGGCAGTTAACAAAATGCCAATTTAGAGCTGCTCGCGGACCTGGATAGAATCACAACCTTCGGTTTTCTGTCCGAAGCAAGTTGTGAGGCGAGGCTGCTCATGACAACCGCAAATTTACGAAAATACGGTTTCTTCAATTTAGAAGCGACCCTAGAGACCATACCGAGTAAGCGTCGACCTTATCTTTTTTGACTTCACGTGTAGTGAACTGTTTACTAACGACGTTCACGTACAGTGACCATGCCTCCCAGAGTGCCCTAGTCGCCATGACCAAGGCAATTTTCCTTCCCCTGAAGGGGTACCACTGGACCAGCTGGAGCGGGCCCCAGTGGTCCCTCTGACGAGGGCACCTCGAAAGCCGATCTGGCCTGACCCGAGGGCACTGCTCTCCTTAAGCAGAAAATCATGGCCCAGAAGCTTAAAAAGAAGAGGCAAATTAGGACCGAAGAGTCGGAGTCTGAACCGGAGGGTTTGGGCGTCTAGCCCGAGAGGTGGTAGCCTTACCAAGCATTCTGCTCAGGAGGGCCAACAAGGGGTGCGACCAGCATCTCCATCACTCCCAGGGGTCAGTAGGTGGGACAACAGGTGACCTCAGTCCCTGGAAGGAGGTCAGGAAAAGAGCCAGCAGGGGGGACTCTACCCGCTACAGGCGTTGGCACCCCCGTCCTAGAGTCTATAGGACAGCTACCAGACCATCTGTAGCCGGTGGTCTTTGCATTGCTCGAATGCGGGTTTGCAGAGGCTTTCGAGCAGTTCGTGGCTTCCGGTACCATGGACCTGATGACCACATCTTTCCACCACCTGAGCCAGGTAAACGAGTTGTCCTTGGCGAGGACATTTGCTTATGCGATATAAATAACTTTATTCTCTTCGCTATGCAGGCCCTGCTCTCCATGTACATGTCCCTACAAAAGGTCTAGCTCAGGGCTGTTGAGGGATTGGTGGAGATGAGGGAAGAGAATGCGCGGCTTAAGCGAGACTTGGCGGCCGCTGAAGCAGCGAGAGATTTGTCCACCACCTCGGCGAACCAGTACCTGAACGAGAGGAATGCTGCTCTTCGCACGGTAGACTTTCAGAAGGCTGAGCTGGAGAGGTACGAGGAGGAGATGAATGAGCTCCGGAGGACGGTGGCCAGACTCACCAGAGAGGTCGGTGAGAAAGACCAGGAGCTGAAAACGACCTCTGAGCGAGCCATGCGAGCAGAGAGGGAAAGGGGCGAGCTGTGGGAGAATACTAAGAAGCAGCGGTCAGCACTTGAGGCCGAGCTCCACTTCACTCGAGGCCGCGTCACTTCGCTAACTACAGAGATGCAGCAGCAAGAGGCGGAGATCGAGAATAAGGCTGCAGAATGGATGATTCAGTCCATCTTTTCCCTTCTTTCGAGGAATCCTAAGATGGATCTATCCGACCTCCCTGACAAGTACCGGAACGAGCTTGCTTCCATGGCACAGGCCAAAGCTGAGGAAGCGGCTCGAGGACCTGACCTGGAAGAGGAACAGCCTGAGTTCGTTCCAGAGGAGCCCGTGTCCGATCAGGCAACCGGCGACTAACCTGGGGATGAGGATCAGTGATCCGCTTCTTCTTGTTTTCTCCCTTTATACTTATGTACTTTTCCCTTTTCATAAATAAAGATATTGCTTTTCACAATCTTTCATCAGTATTTACAATTTTCGCATTCTTTACATATGAGATCGTATTTGAACTGTTTACAATAATAATGGTACAAGTTTATACGAACAGAATTGTATACATGGGAAAAT